CAAAATCTGGGTACCCAATCATCACCATCATGTACCGGAGCTGCAGGCAAAGCGAATGGTGGGGTCAGGCCCCCATCCCGCGTGCCCCGGGGCCATGGTGGGGGCAAGGACAGGGGGCCACGCTGGGGGGCCACTACCTTGGCCCTGGCCGCTCTCCGTGTCTCCTCATCCATCCAGTCCAGCTCATCCAGGCGCTGGTCCAGGATGTATTTGATGTCCTCCACCAGCTGCTGCACCTGTGGTGGGTCACCATGGGCGCTGGTACAGCATCCTCACCATGCACCACCCTGCCAGCCATCCCTCAGTGGGCGCCTCAGCAAGGGGACAGGAGCGATGTGGCGGGTCCCTGCCCACCAGCCGCCACCCCCACCCTGGCGGCTCCATGCCCACGAGCAGCATCACCTACCTTTGCCTTGCTGGCAGAGGAGAAATGCTCTTCAACGAAGAGGGCACCCAGGGCCATGCCGAAGTGCTTGTTCGCTTGGCTCAGGCAGATCTTGCCCAGCTCGAGCTGCTTCTCGTTGCCCTCCATCTCCTTGGAGAGCTCATGGATGGCATCACGGAAGGGGGTGGAGAGGTGTTCGCTCAGCACCACCACGATGCGCCACAGCATGTAGTTGTGAAGGATCCTAGTGATGGGGGCCAAGATCAGACCCCCCTCACTGGGCATGTCCCCAGGCACAAGGGGAGGGTGGGGAGCATGCACCAGGGTGGGGACACCCCTGCTCAGGGACCAGCCAGGCTGCGGGGGTGGCCATGTCCTGTGGGGGCACAGGAATGGGCTGGCACCTTGTGCCTCCTTGCTATGCGATGAGCCTGGTGACCTCCAGCACGGGGGGCTCGACAGGTGGCTGGGCATGACCAGGGTGCTGTGAGAGTCACAACAGTGCCCTCTCCCAGGAGCTTTTCTGGGGTCCCTGTGCCCAGCCTGGCCTCTCTAGGACGTGGGTGATGGGGGGGGACGACCATTTCCCAGCCCCCCAGCCGTCACCAACCCCCTGACAGGCTGGGGAAGACGCCGGGCTGCACGGGGTGCCAGCCCCCCTCACCTGCTGGGCGTCACGCGGATGAGGTCAGACACCTTGTGCATGTAGTCTGTGGCCAGCAGCACCACCTCCTCCTCCTCCGAGAAGTTGTCATGGAAGATGCGGTCCAGCAAGCGCTTCCACTTGAGCTGCCAGGGCGGGCATGGTCAGGGGGGCACAGGGATGGCCCCTCCGTGCCACCCTGGAGGGAACTCCCTCCAGGCTGTCCAGCCTCCCACCACCCCTTCCCACCCAGAAAAGTGCAGGGTTGATTCATCACCCTCAAGCAGACTTACGTGGTTGGGCAGCGAGCGCATGGAGCAGGGGGACAGGAACAAGTGTGGGGCACAGGGCAGATGGGGGATGTGGGGTGGCAGGCTGGGCACTGGCGGTACTCACCGTGGGGGTGATGCGCTGCAGCTCACCCAAGGTCACTTTGTGATACATGCTGCTGACGTCCCTCCGCATGTCGTCATACTCAGACACTGTGATCTGCCCAGGGTGGGCACAGCTGTCACCACCCTGCTGCCCGCCTTGGGGGTGGCACAGGGATGGAGCACAGGGATGGGGCAAGAGGGGCTACCGACCCACATCCCTCTCAGCTGCCCACCCCAGGGACCCTCTGCTGCCAGTAGGGCCCTGAGAGCTGGCCATGGGGTCTCCAAGGAGTTGGAGTACCTGAAGGCTGGGCACAAGGGTCCCCAAGGGCTGAGACTGGAGTCCCCAAGAGCTGGGCATAGAGTCCTCAAGGGCCTGGAGTGGGTTCACAAGGGCTGGAGTGGTTGTCCCAAGGGCTGGGACTTGGGGTCTCAAGATGCTGGGGTTGAGGTCCCTGAGGACCTGAAGGGTGGGGGGGTGGCGCCCCCGGAGGCCCTGCCACAGGGTCCTCAAGGGGCTGGGATCCCCAAGAGCCAGGCATGAAGGTCCCCAAGGGCTGGGAGTAGCAGTTCCCAAGGGGATTGGGATAGGGTCCCTTAGGACCAGGCATGGAGGTCCCCAAAGATCTGTGACTGGGTTGCCCAAGGGCTGGGCAGGGGCACACCAAAGCCCAGGGGCATCCCCCTCACATTGGCGAGGTGCTGCTCCAGCTCCAAGATCTCCCGGGCCTTCTGCTCCACATGCTCAGCCCCCAGGAGGGTGAGCAGCCGCTCCATGAACACCCGGTACGCGGTCAGGATCTGTGCCGAGGAAAGGGACGCTGAGTGCCACACCACACTGCCCTGCAGGCACCCCAGCCCCTGGCACTGCTG